TGATGCTGGGGGGCAGCAGCTGCTCCCAGTCCATCCTGCGGGCAGGAGGCTCAGTAGCCAACACTTCCGTTCTTACCATTCTGTATCCATACAGCCGTTGTGTTTGTCACTTTCAGTAAGGAAGTCAGTCAGTTACATGAACTATTCAACACGTGGTTGTACAACCCGCTTTGTGTCAGATGATCTGCTCAACTGTAGCATCCTGCACATGTTTAAGGTAGGCTCAGCTGAGCTGTGATATTCAATAGGTTAGATGTATTCAATGCATTTTCAACTTATGATATTTTCAACGTACTTTGGTTTTACTGGGACATAACCGCATTGTAAGTCAAGAAAGATCTGTACACAAACTATAACCAAGTATTTTTATAAATGTTACATGGCCATCTTAACAACTTCATACTTGCAAGACATTTTTCCCCTTTCTATTTTGATAAACTACATTGTCAAAGTCAAATCATTTCCTTCTTGGAGAGTTTTGCCAAAACTGCTTACCAGCTTTCATCTTTAGAAAATGAAGCTTGTTAATGTGGAGAGTTCAATTGTTTACATTTCAAATAATGCTATTAATGTTTGTGAAGCACTCCACTTGATAACTTGTTGACTCACAGTTTGTAATTGTGAGCTCTCTAGGCCTAGCAAGGTCTTTGGTTTGGGAAATTCCTGTCAACTGTTGTCATCCCTTTGGGGAGGTTTCCACATAATTCTGGGTGGTTAAAACCAGGTAGGATAGTGGAAACTACTGTGCATTCTTCACCAAATCAGAGAGTCTTTCTCCTTTGAACACCTTGGTCTGCAATTCAAAAAATTGTACTATCAGCAGTCAAATTTTTGAGTCAGAGGGCGGAGGTCCAGGTGACCTGACAGTCCATGAGAGGTAGGGGGTATCCGGGAACGCTGTGCAGCCGGAATACGAGAAAGCTCCTTATGAAGAGTAATGAATGTGCTCCTGAACAAAGGCGACAGCATGTTTGACAAACGAGCTGTTCCTATTTGCTTTCTAAGGCTTTTCTAGCTCGAATGTGTTTTATTGACAAGTTCAAAGGCATATTTTGCCCTTGATGAGGATAACTCACTTAGAAATGTCATTCAAAGTCCCCATAAGCTTGGGGGAGCTCCTGAGTAGCAACTTTACACATAAAAAGTAAAGCAGGGAATTAAGCAGTTGGGCTACTGTCATCAGTCAAATGGGATAAATTCAGACAAAATAAATGAAGTTGGATTTTTACAAGTGGCTTGATTTTTTTTTAAGTTTGTGTATCTATTGCTGCATACAAATTACCTAAGTATTTAGCAGCTTAAAGCAACACACTGTCTGATTTTCTGGGAGTCAGGAAGCCAGGTGTGGCTCGGGTGGGTACCTCCGACACAGGCTGTCTCACAGGGCTGTAGCCAAAGGGGTGGTGAGGACACAGCCTCCGGAGGAGCTGCTTCCAAGCGAACTCATGTGGCTGTTGGCTGGTGAGGGCTGGCTACTGGCTAGAGACTTCAGTTCTTGCCATATGCCTCTCCCTGGGATAACTCACAACCCGGCAGCTGGCTTCCCTCACAGTGAGCAAGGGGAGAGGCAGATGGGCACCCGGGATAGAAGCCACCACGAGGGATCGCGATACTTTTACAGTTTCTATTCGCTGGAAGTGAGCCATTAGTTCAAACCCCTATTCAAGAGCAGGGGATGACATCCTGGTGTGACAATAGGGAGGTGGCAATTACTGGGGACCATTTGGAGGCTGCCTATCACCCTGGGTTGTCCCTGTCCTCTCCTTAAGCTCTTTGGACTTTGCTATAAATAATGACAACTGAAGGCTGAGATGTGGGAAACCCAGAGCAGACTCCATTCTCCCCCCTCCAAAGTTAATCTTTGAGAATTTCCTCAGTAAACACGTTTCCACCATGCATAATATGAAACCTTACAGAATGAGGTTATAAAACTGAAACAGCAAGATATATACAAGAACGTTTGCCATCCTGTGGAGGGCAGGCTCCTGGTCACTGAACCCCTGAGGGTTAACTAGGGACAGGATGGACAGGTGAGGACATGTTGTCATGCTGGGGCCATGATGCTTCCTAATGATAGTGCAGCCTTGGGAACTGGATTCCCAGGCTCAAACCACTGCCTGGTTCCTTAACTGCGCTTCCTGCTTTTTCTTGTGTAGAAAGAGAGTAATAACAGTCTCTGTAAAAGGAGGATAGTAATAGTATGAGTTAATGTACATGAAGTGTATCCATCAGGGCTTGACACAGAGCAAGCACATTGTTGTAAGCTATTACTGAGATAAATTAACAGCAGATGGGTCTCTGAGAATGCTCTTTAAAGTGCTACGATCATATAAGTGGGTTCTATTTTAGTTTTTACCCAGAAATACTCAGAATTAGGTGACTTTGCTGCACCATCCTAATTTTAAGGTTGACAAAACATCCGAAGGCTAAAAAGAAAGAAACATTCCAGTTGATTAGATGTTTATGTTTGTTTATTGTTGTTGAAATGTCAGCTGTGATATTTTTATGTGACCAGGCATGCTGTGCACCTTAATACCCTGATTTCCTTCCCAGATGCCCTCATGTCTTTTTCATTCCATTTTATTCATTTATTCACTGTTCCTTCCTGGTGTGGGCATGAGCACCTCCTGCCCTGGGCCGTGGCGATAGCAGAGATGGTCACAGGCATCAAAACAGAGGCCTGTGACACTGAATGACAAGTGCTCTGGAAGAGGCACTGGGGAGTGAAATGTATCTGTTTGGGGAGGTTGTGGACATGGACCATGCCATGACCCAGAAAAGGAAACTTGTAAGCCATGTAGCAGTATGCCTGATGGAGGAAGGATGGGAAGGTGTTGCAGTTGGAGAGAGTGGTGTTGGCATGATCTAGAGTCAGGAAGCCGCATAGCATATGGAAGATGCTGGCTGCTCAGTTGGGCAGTGGTGCAGAACGCAGGGAATGCATTGGTGGGGCATGGAGCTGCAGGTGGGGGTGGGAGCCCGGCTTGCAGCCTTTGACCGAGGGTGACAGCCGGCACTCAGCTGACACCTCAAAGTGACAGCCAGTGCCTTCAGATCTCTCGCAAGTCCACGGGATCTGGCCCTGTCCAGGACTCTGCTGGCATCCCCACCTCCCCGTGGGGTTGTCTGGGGCAGGCCACACAGGTCAGGCCTTCTTCTCCAAGTGCCTGCCTGGCACCGTCTTCCACAGAGGCTCTGTCAACTGGCTCACCTACCTCACCTGTTGACCCACATCTCACTTTCTCCTTGACAGTGGTCTACCTTCAGTGCTCCTACTGAATGCTGCAGTCAGTCCTCCCCCCCAGTGCCCCCTGCTCCGCCTTTCCCTGCCGACTTCCTGTTCACATAGTGCTATCTTCCAGCGTTCCTTGTGATTGACCTTTCATTATGTTTGTTGTTTGTCATACATCCCACCACCAAAATGTAAGTTTCCTGAGGTAGAAAAGGATCTTTGTGGGTCCCAGCACATAGCACATGCTCAGAAAATATTTGTCGACTGAATGAATCCCCAAATATCTTTGAATTATTTTGAAGGAGCTTCCACTATGGTTGAGAAATAAGAAGCAGAAGTAAAAAAAAATCTAGAAAGACAATTCCAACATATGTTTTTATTCTTGTACATTGTCTTATTTATATATTTTCCTGTTAGCCCCATCAATAGTGTGAAAGTTTCTTTCCACCTTGGGTCTTTCATAAAGGAGGTTAGGAATGTCCATGAAGGTAAAAAAGCCACAAATATGTGCACGATTCCTTTGGAATGAAAAAGCACTGTTTGTGGCTTCCCTCCTTCCCTAAGACACCACGCCTCACTTTGCTCTACTGTGTCTCTGATTGCTGGCTTCTAGAATAAACTATCCGAAGCAAGGGCTGGGGGCTGGCCTATGAAATGCTCCTGTTCAAATCCTTTCTCAAGTCCAGCACTTCTTGATCTGGTCTCCCTGTCTGGGTACCATGTCTCTTGCCCTCCATTTTCTCTCCTACCAACTTTCCTTCCAACATTTTTCCACCTGTGTCATCATTAAACAGATTTCCTCATCCTGCAGACTCATACTCAGTCCTTCTCATCTTTAGTTTTTCTTTAGTCATCCAATAAATTTATTTTTTATTGCTATTATGTGCTCATTTTCTTTCTGCATGGAACACTGCACACTTTCTTCTCCCTGGATAATAATGAGGACGCTTATGATAAATGCTCATGTTTTTGAGGGCTTCCTATGTATAATTGCTGAGCCATAGGTATTATTGTATATCATTCAATTTAATCCTCATAATGAGTCTATGTGTTAGAGACAGTTATCAGGTCTGCTTCACAGATGGGGAAATGGGAACGTGGAGAGGGAAGGCACGCCCTTGGAGCAAGTCTCTGGAGTTCTAGCTCTAAGATAAGCGATGCAGAAGAAGGAGAATGGGGTCGGGAGCCTGGCAGACCCGAGGTGAATTCTAACTTGGTAAAATCCTAGTTGGGAGATTCAGGTGAATGATTGAGTGTTTCTGAGCCTGAGCATTCTTACTTATAAAATGATGATTAAATGAGATAATTTGTGTAAAGCCCTGCCATGGAGCATTGAGCAAATCTGCTTCAATTTTCTTTCTCTTCTGTCTCCTCTCTTCCATGGCCAGCCTTACCCGAACATCCCAAACTCTTGCCAATCCCACTGCCCTCTATATTTCTGTAACAATTTTAATTTCTCCAGCTTAATTTATGACTTATTTATGGACTGACTTCATTCAGGTGTTGTATGGGTGTTGCCTTCTCGGTTAGATTTTAAGAGCAGGGACCATGCATTTTAATTCTGCGTTTCTCATGATGCTCAACATAGTGATAAACACAGAATAAATGCTCAGCCTTTTCTTCCTGACTGACATATCTACTTAGGTCACCATTTGATCCACCGGTTCCTGACACAGTAACCCACACAGGCCTATGCACCCTGGTCCCAGCAGCCTGCCATTATTAATGACGTTCTCCCTCTCTTCTCTCTTCCCAACTGCAGCATGTGCGTTCCGGTACAATGGGCTCTCCTTTGTCTACCTCATCTACCTCTTGCTCATCCCTTTGTTCTCAGAACCAACAAAAGCAACGATGCAAGGTAAGAGATGTTCGCTCCCTAGCATGCTCTGAATGAGTTTGGCTGGCTGTTCGGTTTGTCTTTGTCTGATGGAAGAGCTGCTGTCTGTGCGTCATGCTGGTCCAGCTAGGAGCAGGCATCAGGCATTTGGGCAGCTGCAAGTTGAGTAGTGTGGAGCTTGTTGGTGACACATTTTTGTCACTTATACAGCTATCCTCCCATACAAGTTCCTGAGTAGGTCTCTATTGGTAGGCTTGCGTGTATCTGGAACATTTTGGCTAGTTAAGACGAACTCAATGTATTTTCAACAAAATAAGGCAGAGGGTGGAGCAACATTGGCACATGCTTTGCATATTGGGTTGCTGGGGAGAATGTGGCAGGAGATGGGAAGGAGGCAGAGCATCATCTTACATTTCCAAGCCATGTAGCAGGAGAACTGGGTAAGACCGGGTCCCAGTCATGACTTGTTTATACCCCAACCGAGATCTCTTACATATGCCTCAATCGAGTACTGAAAGAGAGTAATCTGAGTCTGAGGGACAGTTTCTCAAGCATGTCACTGCAAAATTGTAGATCCATCTCCCATTGCTCTGCAAGAATCTGCAGGCATAGAAAAGAATGTGACTGTTTCTTCTAAGGCTCTAATTAGGAAGCATGGTCTGGCTTGTAAATTTATATATTTGAAGTTTTTCCACAAGGATAAACATTAAACCACACCAAATTAATTTAATAGTTTAGCTTTCCAAACAATACTATCAGCAACAAGGACTGTGCCCAGTGTCTTAAGTGAGTGTGACATTTGTATATTAAGCTGGAAAAAAAAGGAAGTTGTGTTTGACCCCACCAATGGAGTGGCATGGGAAAGGCCATTGGTTGTTGTCCTCAACTCGTGGTGGTGACTATTCAGGAAAAGAAGTGAAGACTTGTGTACTCAGAACACATCACGGCTCTGCTTTTCCCATTCTCCCCCTTAGCTATTGCATTTAGAATGTGTATTATGTTTCCTCATCTGAATAGTCAGGACTGCAGATGCTATGATGACTTCCCTGCCTGAGGAAGAACTTCAGTAATAGCTCTTCTAAGTCACTGAAATCCTTAACACAGAAAGAAGAGCTGGAGGAAAGTGAATGTGTACAAATCCTCCTCAAACCTCAAAATGCCTGTTCATGCGACCACACCCAGCCTAGCCTCATTCGGACAGTTCAACATTAACAAAGACATTGAAACAGACTCGTTTTGGGCCTCAGAGCCGAGATTATAACATACAGGCAAGCTGTATTTCATGGCTTGGATCATAAAATATCATACACATTCAGGAGAAAGTGCTTTAAAAATGAGTAGCTGTATAGATTCAATTACATTATCTCTTCCTTTTATATCAGGGTGTCTGCTTATTATTTTTTGTGGAAATCAGGTAATGGGATTTTGCCCTTCAGACATAGGGGACAGCACCTGGCTTTGTGTTCTTCTCGGCTAACCAGCCCTGCTTTCCATTGGGCTGCCTCAGTCCCTGTAGGAGTTGGTGTGCAACTGTGTCCAAAGTGTGGGACAATCAGCCCATTGTGTATACCTGGGTGCACCAGGGACCGGTGTCAGGAAGCTCAGATGTGAAACATAAAATCAAAAGCAAACAGCCGCTCTTCTCTATGTAAAGAAATATCCTGAGTTAACAAAATGTGACCAGGTCGATGCACAGACAAAGCACAATGAGCACCCACACATGTCTGCTGGTGCTGCTCCTAGTGCTGGAGAGGGAAGCTCGGGGCCCGAAAGGGAAACCCACAGGCATCTTTCCAGTTAGTATTATGGAAGCAGTGTTGTGATTACTTTCCTCTTTCCTGCATTTCAGTGCCAAGCAGCGTGACTGATAGTCAACAGAACCTCATTTATTTATTTATTTGCTTGTTTATGGAAACACAGAGGGTCTCTAGGAGAGGATGTTCCACACCTTATTTTTCTGAACATGTAGGGCTCACAGTCCAGGCATTTCTAAAACCTGTGTTTTGAGATATCCCATGCTGGGCACTTCTGGCTGTGCACGGTCCAGGACATCGAAGGTGACGTGGCACGGACACAAGCAACGATGGGTCTGGAAGAGTGACCGTGGTGTGGCTTTTCTGGAAGACTCAGACTCACACATACTCAGACCTTGTTCATGTTCACACACATTTCTCCTGATTCAGTAAGAAAGTACATTGTCAGACTGAAAGAACAGTCAGCAACTTCCACACCACCTGCTCGCAGACAGCCTGCCTGAAACCACAAGTGAATTCGGACTGCCTCTGGAGCCAACGGTGTTTGTGCACATTGTCAGGACCATGAAATGACGTAGACACCCCTGGGCTGGAAGTGTGGTGCAGACATGTAAAAGTTACTCTATGCCCTTCTGCCCTGCATTTGGTCTGTTGGATTTATTTTTTTCTTGTGGAATTATTTTCTTCTAAGTGTATCCATAGAGGGCCTAGCATGTGGAGAATTTCCCAGTTGTAACTCGGAGAGTGTTCCTGTGGCTTCATTCCTGGGATAGTTCTTTGTTTTTTTAAATTCTATTTATTTATTTGTCAGAGAGAGTGAGAGAGAGAGCACAAGCAGGGGGAGCGGCAGGCAGAGGGAGAAACAGGATTCCCACTGAGCAGGGAGCCCAATGTGGGGCTCGATCCCAGGACCCTGGGATCATGACACGAGCCGAAGGCAGTCGCTTAACTGACTGAGCCATTCAGGCGCCCCATTCCTGGGATAGTTCTGAATGTAAATCCCACTCTCTCCACTGTTGCTGTTTAAGACAAGGATGTTGCAAATGACATTACAGGCAGGTAAAGGGCTGATATCCAAGATCTATAAAGAGCTTCTCAGACTCAACACTCAAAATACTAATAACCCAGTCAAAAATTGGGCAGAATGAACAGACACTTCTCCAAAGAAGACATCCAAATGGCCAACAGACACATGAAAAAATGCTCAACATCACTAGCCATCAGGGGAATACAAATCAAAATCACAATGAGATACCATCTTATACCAGTTAGAATGGCAAAAGTTATCAAAACAGGAAACAACAAATGTTGGCGAGGATGTGGAGAGAAAGGGGAACCCTCTTGCACTGTTGGTGGGAATGCAAGCTGGTGCAGCCACTCTGGAAAACAGTATGGAGGTTCCTCAAGACATTAAAAATAGAGCCACCCTATGACCCAGCAATTGCATTACTAGGTATTTACCCCAAAGATAATAGATGTAGTGAAAAGAAGGGGCACATGCAGCCCAATGTTCATAGCAGCAATGTCCACAATAGCTAAACTGTGGAAAGAGCCCAAATGCCCTTCAACAGATGAATGGATAAAGAAGATGTGGTCCATATATACAATGGAATATTACTCAGCCATCAGAAAGGATGAACATCCACCATTTGCATTGATATGGATGGAACTGAAGGGTATTATGCTGAGTGAAATAGTCAGAGAAAGACAATTATCATATGGCTTCACTCATATGTGGAATATAAGCAATAGCACAGAGGACCATAGGGGAAGGGAGGGAAATCCAAAGGGGGAGAAATCAGAGAGGGAGATGAAACATGAGAGGCGATGGACCCCAGGAAACAAACTGAGGGTTTCAGAAGGGAGGAGGTGGGGGGAGGAGGTAACAGGGTGATGGGTATTGAGGAGGGCACGTGCTGTGATGAGCGCTGGGTGTTATACTTAACTAATGAATCATTGAACACTACATCAAAAACTAATGATGTACTGTACAGTGACTAACTGAACATTAAAAAAAAAAAAAGACAAGGATGTCTACTTATTTTGATCTCAGTGCACTCCGCAGCACCCAGAACATTGGAGTGTTATGGAGATGCTCCCCATGCCTGTGCCTTAGCGAAGATTTGCTGTAAGGCTGGAAATGACTGCGTCCTAGAGCAGGGAAGATCAGGGGCAGTTAGCAGTCATATGCTGAGATGGTATCAAGTTAAAAAGAAAAGGAATCGGAGTAAGGATGGTGGCTTGGCAGCTTACTCGTGGGCCTCATGTGAACCACTGAGGCTAGAGTCAGAGGAGCTTCTAGGATCACTGAACATGTTCCGACAGCCAGTGGTGGAGGCCCTTCCACAACGTGCCTGCTGTCTCTTCACAGTCACTGATGGACCAGGGACTCCCTGTCTCCCTGGGAGGCTTTAGGTGGTTCTTTTGTGGATAGACCTGAAGTCCGCCCAGCTGCACAAGGGTACACAAGCCATGGTATCCAACCCAGAGCAACAAAGAAAGAATTAACAGAAGCTGGAGGATTATAGTCATTAGAAGATCACATAATTAGATTATAGTAATATGGTGATGGGATTGGCTTCGGCTACATCATTTTGTGGGTCTTTTATAAATCTAGGATTTTGGAATTCTCATTTTTTTCTGTTAAAGATCTTCAAATCATGGAACACTACATCAAAAACTAATGATGTAATGTATAGTGATTTACATAACATAATAATAAAAAAAATGTGTAATTACCTTAGTAGGATTGTATCAGTCGGGGCCCAACCAGAAACCACAAGCCACTCTAGGTACTTTAAGAGGAAACGTGATGGAGGGGGTGGGTTACCAGAGATGGTGGAAGAGCCAGGAAATCAAAAGGAAGGTTGGGGGACCTAGGTCTCAGCAGAGCAGGGAGGAATGGGGGGAAGAAGGGAGGTCACGAGCAGGACTCAGAAACTAGAACCACAGGTGGCAGTCAGGGAACCGATCTGTGCAGACAGGCCAGGACTAGCACTCTTCCTGTTAGTCATATGTGTCAAATGAGACCGTTTCATGTTCATTGTCAGTAAACTACCTGTAGCTTTTCAAATGTGAGGGGGGGTGGTGGAGGGGATCGTCTTTCCCTTCATTCTGTCCCCTGGAGGCGCTTCCCTCTGTCAGAATTTCTTCTAAGCTCCCGTCTGCAGGAAGCTGAGGTGGAAATTTGGAATCCCCTCTGAAGACTGAGGCACCCATCCCCCAGCCCTCGGAAGGCCTTGTCTGTAACAGCGCACAGTGGAATTT